AGAATAATTTTTTTAAATCTTATGATACTTCTTAGTTCAAATTCAAGAAAAATCTATTTTATTTTGAGAGACAATTATATATCCTAGAAGGCAAGGCACAATTACGTGTTCTTCAAGCTTGTCATGATTTTTCAGTAGCCAGACATTTTGAATACAAGAAGAGTTTAGAGCTAATATCAAGAGATTAGTTGGTATTTAGTGGCCTCAAATATGGAAGGTAGTTAAAGACTTTGTATAATCATGTGATATTTTTTCAAGATCCAAAACTCCTTACCATTGAACTTATGAACTTCTTCAGCTATTACATATTCTAGAATAATTATAGTCTTTTATTTCCATAGATTTTATCACAAATTTTTTAATCTTAGGTTGGTATGATTCTATATTTGCGATAGTAGATTATTTTATCAAGATGACATATTTTTTACCATATGTAAAATCTATCATAGATAAAGCAACAACTAAGCTTTTTTTTAACAACATCTATTGCTATCATAGATTATTGAAGGATATTATATCATATAGAAAGATTCAATTTATATCAAGATTTTAGAGAACCCTTTTTAAGATTCTAAAAGTGGATATAAAGCTCTCTTCAGCTTTTCATTCTCAAATTGATGGACAAATAGAATGGATGAATCAAGTTTTGGAGTAATATTTGAGGTCTGCTATCAATTATCATCAAGATGATTGGATAATTCTTTTGCCATTGAAAAAATTTGTATATAATAATTTAATATATTCTTCTATTCAAAAAACACCTTTTTTTTTTCAATTATGGTTATCATCTACAACTTCATATTTTTTACTTTTTAAAAGTTAATAGTTGTACAACAAAAGTTTTGGCAAATTTTTTATCAGGATTACATGCAAAAGTGAAGGTGCAATTAAAGGGAGCTCAAGAACGACAAAAGATCAATGTAGTTGTATATTGCAAAGAACATCTACAATTCAATGTAGGTGATAAAGTATAATTACTTTGTTATAATATCAAGACTACTCACCTTTGTGATAAGTTGGACTATTATAAGCTTAGATCTTTTTTTATTTGTGAACAAGTCAATTTTATTACTTATCAATTATATTTATTAAAATCTATAAAAATCCACCATATTATCATATTATAATTGTTTATAATATGTATAAAATTAACTAAAATATGTATTATATTTATAATTATTGATGTCCATTAGAATAATTAATAGGTTAATTTAAAGAAATTTGATGTAAGAAAAATTATTTTGAGATTTACCTATGTTGATTATAGTGTTTAAATAATCTAGGATTTAGATATTTAGTATAAAATTTAACGAGGAGATTGGAGCTCAAAGATAAAGATCTAAACTTCTAAGAAACTTATATGGAAGCATGAAAGCAAGGTATGGATGGATGAAGGCAAAATATAAAGATCTTCATCCTTATTTGTCAAAGGCCATATCCAATAGGCATTTAGTAGGTTGTCTATGACCATAACAAGGATTTTGGCAAATTCAAAAGGAGCATTTGTAAATCAAAAGTAAGGATTATAAGATTTAAAATTTGGACTACAATTTATATTCAAATTTTAGAGGATTTAAAATTAGTGTGATGAAGTTATAGTTGTTTGAAGTTATGATATCTTTTTAAGATATAATATTACTCTTTTGATAATACAAGGAGTTTTATGATAGATTTTGGAAACTGAAAAGTACAACTGCAAGGATGATTTTAAGATCTACATATTTTGTAATAAAAATTTTATATTTAGAGTTTGTATGAAGGAGTTATAGAGCATTGAAGATAATACATGTAATTCAAAGATAGTAAATAAGTGGTTTTATTGATAGTAATGGTTGGAGCCACATCTTGAGTTTTTAATGAATTTTTAGCTCAAAATTTCTAAAAAAGTGATTTATTAAATTAAAAAGCTATAAATCAAAATTTTATGATATTTGAATATTTAATTTGTGAGATATGAAGAAAATTACACATGTGTATATATAAGCAAGGATTTGAAGCTACTATTAGAATTTTGGTAATAACTTAAGATCCGTATAGAATTTGCAATGAAATTTATTGTAGTAGTTATTAAAAATACATCAATACTTTATATAAAATTTTATTTTATTTTTTGGATGGTCTAATCATGAGATATGAGCTATTGAAGTTTGGAAAAAAATCATCTTAAAGATATACAAGGTTTTGTAATATTTTTATTATATTTTTGAATGATCTTTGGTATTTAGTACTTATATATTGATGTAATTGCCCTTATAAGGATAATTTTATACATAAACTTAGTATTTTTTTTTTATCTTGAGACTTAGTTGAGCAATTAGTAACAACTGGAAGCTTAGCGCTTTTTTAAGGCAAATTCTTTCTATCCCGACACCATATTTTACATATATCTTCTTGAACTATATAAGATAGTAAATATTGTGGGAAGAAGACAAATGCCACTTCTTTTTATAGAAGTAGATAATAATCAAGAGTTTGAAGTAGAAGAAGTCTTAGATTCAATGCAATACTAAAATAGATTAGAATATCTTATTCATTGGCATGGATATATTATTAGTGAATGCACATAAGAGCCAACAAAGAATCTTACAAATAAAATAAAGAGAGTTGATGCTTTTTATCATTGACATCCATCAAAATTAAGATAAAAAATAGAAAATCTTCATTATAAAAGAAATAAGATCCAAGGAAGATAGCATTCTACTTTCTACTCTTGTTTGCAGCTTCTATGTATTTGTGATATTAAAGAGATGAAAAATTAAAAACTTTCAGATTCAATTTAAAAGCTTTTATTTATTGACTTATTAGACAAGACATTGAGATTGTCATAACCTTCAAGATGATGTAATCAAAATAAAGATCCTCAAGAACAACATATCCTACCTCGAATAGATGGTGAAATACAAAGTGTTTGGTATCATGACCTTGGAAGAGACTCTCAATGTTTGGTGATTTTATTAGAGGTAGAAATAATTCTTAACAGAATTCCAAATATTTTATTTGAAAGAAGTTACAAAGTCGTCAACAATGACCAAATAATAAGGTAGTCTTCTTGCCTTAATATAAAACATTATTAATAGTTGAGAGGACCTATCAACTACCTTTAAAGAAAACAAAGTTCAAATATGTGGCAAACACAATTCGCCACATCTTAAATTTCCTCAAAATATGATGACAGCTCCTTATCGAACTCATTCTTAGAAGGGAGATAATGTCACAAATATATATATATTTACTCTAAGATTTATCTATATGATTAAGTAGAAATACATAAAAGTAGATTTTTTTCATAATATTTTCTAGAAAAACTTCCTAAAAACTTCATAGATGTTTCTTTGACTTTATATGTGTTTGTAATTGATTAGTAGGTTAGAAACTTGGTCAACAAGTTAATCATGTATTGGTAGCTTGTGGAACAAGCTCATCATATAGCATATATATAAAAAACTTGCTTTGCAAGTTAAGATATGTGTCTTGCAAAGTCAACTCATTTTGAAGGTCGTATAGAACATCACTACATAGCTCCTATCTAAGAGTATATATGGAGGTAAGAGTAAAGCCCTCTTCACTCTTGTCAATGCCTTTCTAGTCTTTAGTCTCGTTTCAAGACTTTCTAGTCTTCTTGTCTTTGTTAATAGCCATTCTAGTTTAATAGCATATCATCTTTAAATGACTTTCTAATTCTTTTGAGTGAAAAAAGAGTGTCTTTGATACTTTAGTAAAAATCCAATGATTATAGAAGAACCAAATAAAAAATCAAAATAAAGAGATGAAAAAAAAATTATTTCACATAATTTTATTTCACATAATTTAAGATAATGATTTCTCATTGACTTTTTAATTTTTTATTAAAATTTTATCCATCTATTTTTTTTCGTCTAATGCCTTTTTATAATGGCCTAAACACCTTCATCAACCACAACAAAAACATATGACAACTTATTGTTAGGACATCCTCATACACAATTTAAATTCAATGAAACAAAAACATTGTTCAAATAGAAAAATAATCTATTGACAAGATCTACACAATGTGGTGTATCTTCTTAGAATGTGCCTAAACATAGTTAGATGTGGAAAATGAGATAAATAAAAGAAGATCTTAAAAAGGAGCTCAATTAATTTGCAAACTTGACAGCAAATAGGGCACTGAACAAGCTGTCCTGCCTTAATCACGGCCTCAAGTTCAATGGAATGCCAACCAGCCTATTTAAGACTTACTTACTCACCCAAACTTAGAACAATAATCCTCTTGTATAGTACACTCTCTGAACAAGTAACTCATTTTAAATTTTTAAAAAATAGGTACACACCTCCGAAAAGAAAAGAAGAATGAAAAAACAATCAAGATACAAAGGCTGCAATATAGTGTGGGGACAATTGAATCCTTCGGAAGCTGAGAATAGGGAGAGCAAATCGTGCAGCTAATTGTAGAGATGGTGATACTGATGGCAGACGTCACCATATCCAATGCCAGTCCCCCCAAAACCTGTCTGTACCGGGACCTTTCTGACAGGACCCGCTCAGGACCTTCATAGATTGGTATCATCTCATAAGCCAAAGTGATCTATATCCATTTCGCAAACCCAGTTGTTTGAAAACAGAAAAAAAAAAAAAAAAAAAAAAAAAAAAAAACTCGAAATTTATTAAGGAAACAAACATGGGAGATATGCTTTCATGGATGCGAACTGTGATGACGCCCATACACACAGACACCGAGTTCTCACCCGCTTCATGATTTGTTTACATTCGGCGAGAGCTAACCCATATTAGCAACCATATCCAGTGCACAGACACCACTCATTCATGCCTGGTTCCATCCGGAGTTGGTTTCTATTCCTGGGCGGCAGAAAACTTCGACCAAAAAGGTCCTCAAAGAAAGATATTCCCACGGCTCCAATAGCAAGCGCTGCTCGCTGGTGTTGTTGAGTCTCCCGAGGCTCTGGAGCTCCGAAGATGCTACTGAAGCAGCATCGCAAGTGCTCGGGTTAGGTATATAACCCCTGCTGCTGGTGTCGTCGTCATTATCCCAACCAGATTGCGCTCATGGCTCAGTCCATCCCTTCGTCGAAAGGTTGGACCGGGATTCAGCTGTGACGAACCTGTTCCCGGAGTTATCCGGTTTTGGTCTCCGTACCTGCAGTAAATGCGATGGAATGAGCATCGCTTGCATGTGGGATCTGGTCGTATTAAGCGGCAGAAAAGATTTCGAGACCGTTTTTTCACGGGTCGTTTTTATTTTTATTTCGGGGGTAAGTATGAGCGAGCTGCGTGTAGAGGATTAGTGAGGCCAAGTCTGTGTTGTGGATCCAGGATCAAATTTTCCTGCCCATGCTCTGGCTACCTCACGCACATTCAAAGCACAGTTGAGAATTCACCTATTCTTGTAATGAGACAGGTGCTTGCAGGGATCAAAGGGTAGCAACGCTATCCATCTGCCAACCCCAACCCTCCCTCCTGCCCCATCGTGCGCCTCAGTGTGCGTTGCGATTGGGAAGGAGATGAGGCTCCAAAGCGACTCTACCATTTTTTTCGTTTTCCAAAACTTTCTTATTATGTCAGTTGTGCAATCGATGAATGGTTTGACCCGCATCTGGTGGGCGTTTCGAAGGCTGGTGGTGGAGGACAGCTTTTCTTTTCGGGTGATGGGTTAAGGTAATTTTTACGTCTGGAATTGTTTAACTGGAAAGCTCCAATTCGTTTGAGAGCCCTGCGATGGTGTTCCGCCATACAATTGTGGTGGACAGAGATCGACAGAGACGGGAAGGGATGCGATGTAGATGACCGGATTAGCGGAGACTGAACGAAATTACGTAGAGAATATGCTGCGGTCAGATCGTCTGTGGCAGCAGGGAAGCAATTGATGTGGCACTGTGCGCTTTGTTGTTTTTTCTGAGAAATGTGTAGCGGAACCCAAAAACCGGCTTGTGACAGGACCGGGGTTAGCGAAAAGTGGTGGCGACGCTGCTGCTCTGAGCATCTCGCAGCCGCTCATAAATGATGACATCCTTTCGCATCTCAGTCGACCATGCTCCTCTGCAAATTCTCGCCCATCAACTCGATTCCTCGCATTCAGTTCGTGAGCTGCAGGAGCCTTGTTGGTGAGATCTTGTTGAGAGATCTCTGGGCAGGCATTCCTCATTTGCTGTTTGATGTCCTGTAAAGACGCTCTCAGCTCCGTGTGCAGGGTCCTTCAGCGAGGGAACCCATCGAGCATGTTCAGCACAGCGGGGGCGTGTTACATTCATGACTCTGTGAGGGTGTCTTTGATCGTTCTCACGGAGCGTTCCCTGTGATTTCTAGAGCTAAGCAGCTGGTATACGCCAGGATACAGATAGAGGTATGTGCATTGCATTCCTACACCTGTGCCAGCCAGTCTGGTAATGGATACACGTAGCCTCCGACTGAAGTTCGCCATCGTAACGGTTTGCGTTGATACTCGTTATATATCACCCTATACGAACAAAGTCTTAGGAGTGGAAGCTTTGGAGAGTATGTCGAGTAAGGTTTGCAGGGTTGAATGCCCTGCTTCTTTTCTCTACAGTGCAACGGGTCGTAACCTCAGCTTAACGAGAGCTGAGTGATATAAGTTATATTTTCTTTTTGAAATCCTCACGGTGAGGGTTGGAAAGCCGTAGCATCTTGTACTTTTATCTCCTTCAAGACCTACAGCGCACCTTTCGTTTTAAATTCCGAAGGAAGGACGGTGCTATGGTAAGGGTCAGTATCTTGGTGAAGCTTGCAGTCGTGCTCGCTTTTTGATATCACTATCGATCGTTTGAAACTACACTGGTCGTGAATGCTGTGAAGGCACTGATGTGTATCAAGTGGAATTTCAGATAGTTTCTTCACGTACGGTAGAAAAGCAATCGTGGCTTGTCTCATTTGTTGTAATAATGCTCACAGAGTACCTCTCAGAACCTGCAGGGCCTTGATATCTGTGGATTGAGATTCCGGATGGCAAAGTCGAGTTGCTAATTTTTGTGATTTCCGACATTGTGCATGGACCATTGCCATGACTTGTTGTGCATTGTGTGTGTAGAGGTGTGATGACGAAGTATGGGAATGCGACATCTGGTAGTTCACCTCCAGGCGAGGTGGTAGTGGTGACCCCCGCAACAGAAACCTTCAGCAGTGAGAGTTGGCGGCCAGAGCCTGGTCATGTGGTGGTCTTAGCGCCAATTGACACTGACGGCGACTCGAAACTCCAACGCGCAGAGACCGCCGATGGCAGTCTCCCTGAAAGAGTGGCGCTCCTCTCAGGATGGCGTCGGCACAACGAGGTGGCGTCGTTGCAAGAGGTGAAGTCATCCATTAAGGTGCCCGAGGGAGCATGGTATAAGAAGGTGTTCGCCTTTGCGGGCCTTGGATTCATGATCAGTGTTGCATACATGGGTCCAGGAAACTGGGCCACAGATCTCAGCGGAGGTGCTGCATTTGGTTACACGCTACTCTCAGTCATCTTGTTTCGAATTTTACTGCCATTTTCCTCCAATCCATGCCCCTGAAGCTCGGTATTGTGGCGGACCGTGACTTGGCACAAGCATGTCGCGACGCATATCGCAACTACGTGGTGTGGTTCCTGTGGGTTATGACGGAAATCGCTATCGCCGCGGCAGACCTGGCGGAGGTTATCGATTCCGCCGTCGCCATGAACCTCTTGTTCGGCCTCCCCTTGTGGGCTGGCGTGTTGATCACCGCTGTGGATACGATGTTCATCCTCGCGTTCGGAACCAGAAGTTTCCGAAGCTTGGAAGTAATCGTCTTCCTCCTGTGCATACTCATTGTGGGAGTTTTTGTCTATGAGCTCATCGCTGTGAAACCGGAGTGGATCAAAGTTGCCCAAGGGTTGTATCCCAAACCTGAAATCATCACCAACCCAGACATCCTTTACAACGCTATCGGCATCATCGGCGCTACTTGCATGCCCCACAGCTTGTATCTCCATTCAAGCATCATCCAGACGCGCGCCTACCCTCGCACCAAGGAAGGAAGGAAAATGGCAGTGAAGTACGGCAGATGGGACTCGACCCTTTCTTTGATGCTTGCCTTCTTCGTGAACGCATCCATTCTAATCCTCGCTGCTGCGGCCTTTCATTACGGTCCTCACGTCAATCGCGAGCTCGCTAACCTCAGTGACGCGTACATGCTCCTCGCACCTGCTTTGGGCAACAACGCTGCAAGAATCCTGTTCGGAGTCGGCCTACTCGCGAGTGGCCAGAACTCGACCATCATCGGCAAACCAGCTGGCCAGATCGTGATGGAGGGGTTCCTCAAGAGCAGAATCAAACCATGGCAGCGACGACTCGTCACCCGATCGATTGCGATCATTCCAGCTGCGATCGTCGCGGCTATTGGCGGAAACAGCGGTGCGGGGCGTTTGCTGGTCCTCAGTCAGGTCATTCTGTCCTTCACTCTGATCTTCGCCGTGGTACCGCTGGTACATTTCACTAACTCCCGTCCCAAGATGGGCCGCTTCGTCAACTGCAGGATTGCGAGAATCTTCGCATGGTTCGTTGCAGCAGTAATCGGCTGCCTCAACCTTTTCCTCGTGGTGCAAAGTATTCGTGAGGGGTCGTTCGGGGAGTCGGGCCACATCTTAGGCACAAGCCTGTGTCCATCAGTCTGATCCAAGTCGGTGCCGGCACTGTGTTGCTTAACCGCGGTTGTTTTACCGACTACGTCTTCCATTTCTAGATGCGAATGATTCACACGACATGGGAAGAAGTCGTAGTTGATGTTTCTCCTTCCCCTTCCGAGTCAACCTCTGGAATGATCCCGATGATGGGGTGGATCGAAGAGCTCCAGTTAAGTGAAGTAAAATCAGGAAAAACGTAGTAGATCTGTCTCTGTACAATCAGTCGATCATGCAGCTTCATTGCTCAGTCTTCCACGTCTGTTGTGAGTATTGTGCACAACCGGGACAAGTGTGACTGTGTAACAAGATGGATCCACGTTGTGTTTCCCCTGTCATGCTCGTACTCTGAGTTGCCGTTGTGTGTCATGCTTGCCATAGCCTTCTGTTGCCCACATGGAGCTGATAGTGTGCATGTTGCGTCAAAAACTACACACAACATGCAGATTCTTTTGCTGTGAAACAGTTCTTCGCAAACACTCAAAATAACCGGAATAATACGCTTTTCTTCTTAAATCAGTAACCTTGACATCCTCTGTGTGTACCATTTGAATCAATTCCATCATATAGTTTGTGTGATAATTTATGTATTTACTTATTTATTGGCATGTATGTATGTATAATTTTACTTTTGGTAAATTAATTGACGTAAATTGACGTCACAATATGCTTCAATTGATGTCACAATATTTGTTTGATGTCTTGCTGCAAACCAACGTAGTTAATTTCATGTTTAAATTATTGCAAAATGTTGCAGTATGCTGTATTTTGTGCCATAATAAGGACAATGTCATGATGTAACAAAAGACTATTATGCTTCAAGTTTGATAACAATGTGTATACAAAATTACTTATAAAAATACCCAATTAAATATGGGAATTACAAGGCAGACACCCCATTATTACTATGTGGATACCCCCCTCTGCCATGCATCCCTACATATACACAATAAAACTCTTATTTATACTAAAAATATTTAGAATAAATTTATAGTAAAAGTTTTCCTAAATAAAATTAATAATTTTTCAAACTGAATAAAATGATTTCAATAGAATGTGTTATAAATGTTTGTTGAATTTAAATATATATATATATATATATATATATATATATATATAATAAAAATTTTAAATTTTTAAAATTTAAAGATCTTATTATGAAAAAATTGCCAACATTTAAGATATATTTTTATTTTTATTATATTAGAACGAAGATTGATCATGAGACAATAAAAAATTTCAATCATTCATAAAATAAATCTAAGAAGTCATTGCTTAGATTATTTGTTTTTCTTTAATATATATTAGCTAACAAAGAATCTAGACACCTTTTTTTAAGCCCCTCTCAAACATTGAGATATTTGGAAAGGCAGTATTCATATATAAAGAATGAAAGTGGCAGTTCTACATCCATGTATTATGATCTCTATACTCACGCTTTTGTCTCTTCTATCGCACTATACAATAACTCACAACAATATTATTGACCGAGTTGTAAGACTCTTGCTATTATTGTTTGTTGCATCAATATTCCAAAATATCGACTTGTTTGTTTATGAATAGTTTTAGAGATTAAGTGAATGTGGATGGTTATTTTTGTTTATTAGCTTTACATTATATCAAGTATCTTTCATCCAATTTTTCACAAAAGGATGTGTATTAGAATATCTTCTATACATCACATCTACATAGAGATTCATTGAAGTAAGAATATGATATTTTAGATTCAAGGATTACTATTTGATCTAGATAATAAGCTTGGTCATACATATATCAATGATCCTCACAAGTTTGGTATATAAGTATATATCAATCTAGGTAATTATTATATCATCCTTTTGTTTCTCTATTTTATTTCTCTCATGGCATTAAAATAAGAAGCTTATATTTTTTTTATGTCTTTGTTTTCTAATTATTACTTATCTTTTTTAAAACCATTTTTATTTTTACCAATCATTGGGACTAGATCTATACTCATTGTTGCTTTTTTTTCACAAACTAATCTATTTTTTTTTAGTTACATATGACAAAATCACCATGAACAACTTGAAAAGAATCTCTTCAAAAGATACAATGTTAGTGGGACCTAAAAACTACATGTATTGATTAATCTTTTTACAAAGTATTTTTGAAAAAGATGATTTATGGGACTTGATTGAACCAATCTTATCGTCAATCTTGTCTCCTACAATATAAATAAACACCAAAGATATTCCAAATCTGGATATTACAAAGACAAATCATGAATAAGCATCTTCTACTAAACCTATTAAGTAATGACAAAATTTTGGATTCCTTAGAAATAATTTTCTTTAGACAACCAAATAATGATTGGATTTTTGATTCAAGAGCCTTCTATCATTTTTCAAGAAACTACTTTGCATTTAATTCAATAGATTTATTGCACAGTGCCACAATCACATCCACAAGAGGCTACTCTCATATAATAATAAGACAAGGATTAGTTGACTTATATTTGTCTAATAAAAAAATGTAATCCCTAAAAGATTTCTGTTATATTTTTGACTTATATAGAAACATACTTTTAAAAAGATAAATTACTCATCTAAGAAATCTATGCATTTTTAATCCTATCAAATATAATATCATCTCACTTCAAAAATTACATAGAATAGTAGCTAAAAGATCCCATGAGCAAACAAATGGACTCTACAAACTAGAATACTTTGACCAAAGTTTTAAGACAAATAGTTATCCAACTAAAACCAACAAAGTACTAGAAATAAATTGCTTAAATAATACTACCAACTTATCTATATCATGACACAAATATTTAAGATACATAAACTATACAAGCATAGCTTTCATCAATTCTTATAAATTAATAAAAGAAATATCTTCTTTTTATGTAGTTGTCAAGGACATGAACTTCAAAGAAAGAAAATCCTTGATTCAGTCTAGTATCATTGAAGAGAATTAGAAAGTCACTCCAAAGGTAATGTAATATTAACTAGAATGGCTATTGCCAAAAACAAGAAGATTAGAAAGTCTTGAAACAAGACTAAGTACTAGAACCGCATTGATAAGAGTGAAGAAGGTTTCACTCTTGCCTCCATATTTTTTTCTTAATTATGAGCTATGTGGCGATATTCTACAGGACCTCCAAAACATATTGACTTTACTAGCCACATGTCTTAACTTGCAAGGCAAGTTATCTATATATGCACCATATGATTAACTTATTCTACAAGCTATTATACGGAGTTAACTTATTCCACAAGCTACCAACACGTGATTAACTTGTTGGCCAAGTTTCCAACCTACAAACATATCTAAAGTCAAAACCACATCTATGTAGCTTCTAAGAAGCTTCACTAAAAGTCTTTATGAAATTAATCTATATTTACCTACTTCTACTTAATTATATAATTAATTATTGAGATAAATATATATATCCATAACATTATCCGCCCTTTTAGGGACAAGTTCTATGAAAAGTGGTGTCATATTGTAACATGACTATATGGTAAAAGATGATAATATGGATCTTATTATAGAAGAGCCAAGTTAAAAGATAAAGTAAAAAAATATGGATAAAAGATAGGAAGGTCGTAAAACTATTAGTAGTACTACTACTTTTTTATAAAAGTGACTTTTATTTACTTTTAGGACCATAAATTAGGCAAAATAAGGTAGATTGGAAAAATAAATAATATAAATATCTTTAGAAAGAAATTAAAAGTAAATTTTAGCAAAAATTACCTAAAAAAACTAGATATTGATACTCGAGGAGGGCCGGTTAGTAACCTAGTCGAAATCAGACCTTGAGGCTTAAAATCGAGCACCTACGATAACTGGGAAGTTCTTTTGTAGATCGAAGAGTGGGGTCTGATAGCAAACTACATAGGATTTTTATAAGCATTGGATTTGGATAATTTGGAGTTGTTGTGACTTTGTAAGAGCTTTACAAAATCAAGTTTATTTTTGGATGACTTGGATTTAGTGAAATAAAATAGCATTGACATTTTTAGTCATTTCAAGAGTTTTTTAATAGATCTACAAGTGAAATTTTGTAGGTTAATGGTCATAGTTGTGCTTAATATGTATTGTGAATCTTAGCTCGATCTAATGGTTGAATTGAGCGTTGTTGAGGTTTAAGTTGGTCAAGGTCTCAAAAAGTAGAATTTTAGGTCCAGTGAGGGTTTAGGGTTTAGGATTTGGTTTGGGATTTGGTTAGGATTTGATTTAGGATTAAGATTTGGTTAAAAATTGGTTTAGGATTTAGGATTTGATTTAGGGTTGGTTAGGATTTGATTTAGGATTAGGATTTGATTTAGGATTTAGGATTTTATTAGGATTTTTTTAGGATTTAAGATTTAGTTAGTTTTTGGCCTAAAGTTTGAATGAAGTCTAATAGGATTTTAATTAGGATTAAATTAAGATTGAATAGAGATATATTTGAGATATATTTGTGATCATTCTAATATTTCTTTAATATTTCTTATTATTTTTTTGTAATTCCTTTGAGATTTCTTTGAATTTGATTAAAGCTTTTTTAATGTTGTTATGGTCTAATTAGAATTTAATTAATATTCTATTAGAGTTAGAATTTTTTTATTGAAATTTCCATTCTACTTTCCACATTTGGTGCCCAAAGCATTCTCAAGCAAGACTTCACGTATTACGACAACGGTCTTCATATGTTGAATAAGTCCAAGATACGGCAAATTATATTTGCCACAAACTCTGATCTTTGTTTTCTTTAAAGATGGTTGATAGGCCTTCTCAGCCATCAATAGTATTCCATATCAAGACAAGAAGACCACCTTGTTATTTAGTTGTTGTTGAGGCCTTTGTAACTTCCTTCAAATAAAACATTTGAAACACTATTAAGAGTTATTTCTACCTCTAATAAAATCACAAAATAGCGGGAGTCTCTTCCAAGGTCATTATACCAAACATGTTGTATCTCACCATCTAATCAAGGAAGAATATGTCATTCTTGAAGATCTTCATCTCAATTTTATTGTCTTAAAGGTTGTCACAATCGCAATGTCTCATCTGATAAGTTTGCAAATGAAAGCTCTTGAGTTGAATCTGTTGGTTGTTGGCTCTCTATCTCCTTAGCATCACAAATATACATAAGCTATAAAAAAAGATAGAAGGTAGAATATTATCTTCTTTTGATCTTGTTTCTTTTATAGAAAAGATTTTTTATTCTTGTCACGGACAAGAACTCGATGAAAAAATAATTCAAACATGTGAGCATTCACTCAAAGAGAGGTAACAAAATATATAAGTATATATATTGAAAGAGAAACTGGAAGGGCTATTGCCAAAAGATAAGAAAACTAGAGACCCTTGAAACTAGACTAGAAGCAAGAAAGGAGTTGACAAGAGTGAAGAAGCCTTCACTCTTGTCTCTATATATACTATCTAACTAGGGGCTACGTGGCGACGTTCTATAGGACCTCCAATATGTGTTGACTTTGTAGGACACATGCCTTGACTTACAAGGCAAGTTTTTCTATGTGTGGGCCACATAGTTAGCTTGATCTTCAG